CCATATCATTCTCTATTCTACTTTCCTACTATATAATATTACAATCTGAAAGTTTGTAACTCAATCACGCAAAAACGACTGAATAGATTTGGAAGAAATTTGGGACGCATTAAGTTTATGACCAGAATTGAGACACAGGATACTTTTTATCCCGAAAAACGTTAGGTACCTGTGTGGGATTCTCAAAAAAACTATGTAAACGCGGACAAAATCGCGGGCGGCCGCTAGTACAGGAAACAAGCCAGACAGAATAACAATAACATAATGCCAGATCGATACCATTATCACAGTATAAATATACTCGAGGTGAAACATAACAAGCCACCGTTAATTTTGAAATTTCTTCTGTCCTTGCTCCTAATGCCGTCACTTCATTTATGGGTAGACCGCTTAACTGAGTCGTCGCCTGCGGGGTAAAGGATGTGGGGGTAGGACGAGAACGGGCACCGCCACACCCTTTACCCCCCAAGCGAGACCTCAGTTAAGCGGTCTAGCTATTTGCTATTTGTACCCTTTTTTTTATTACGCTGGCAAAACCTCTATTTACAGACGTTAGTGCCCTTAAGAGGCACACCAACGAACGGACCTCACACCTAGCCTCTCGCAAGTCTCACGGGTGCGAAACGGAGAAGCCGTTAAGCATTTCGCCAGGTTACGAGCGCTTACGGCATACTAAAAAACCCTTGGAATACCCTCTACGCTGTTAAGTGCGGAACCGCGAGATCCCCGTTGAGGGACTTCACCGCGTCTTGCTATTTGTACCCTGGAAATGCTCCTGGTGACAGGAAGAGTTCGGGGAAGGCGACCAAGAGGGAGAAGCTTCATGCACTGGACAGTCCAGATCCGCGACAATACCAAAACTGGAGTAAGCAATGCACTCCACACTGCCGAAGACCGCAACAAGTGGAAAGCGATCGTCCACAAAATAATTCTTGGACGTGGGACGGCCCTCCGCAATGAGGAGTACGACACAAGGAGGAGGGTTTGTACACGTTACAACAGCCTCTCCTTAACATGCTATAATAGGAATGAAAAGGACAGACTGGTTTACGTTTTACGTTACGTAAGTTTACAAATAGCTAACACGAATGGCCAAGTGAATGAAGTGCTGGCATCAAATTCAATCAATATTTGGAGTTGTATTGTTATTTGCAAATAACGATACAACTCCAAATGTTGAATTTTTAAGAACATTGCTCTCAAATACTGATATTCTGCAAATAAAAATAGGTTCAACTTGCTTTACGGCAATTATCAGTAACGCGTTCCACAGCTAATCTGTTTATACAGTTAAATGTAGTGCATAAATACAATGGTACTGCGTCCAAGTTCTATTAACACAATGTCAATTCTTTTTTATTACCAGCATGGAAAATGCACCAAACAATCATCAAGTCATCGGCAAAACCAAAGGAAAAGTGCCTTATGAAATGGCCAGTTATTTGAAGCTATAAAACCCGGTAGCCTCCATTCCACACTTGGCATTGTTTCCGCCAGATGTTAGCATCGCTGCTAGCTGATTCTGGATTTAATTAATTTGACAACATCAAAGCGTCAAAGTGGATGGAAATCAGACCAAGTAGCAGAAGGTTACATTGAAGAATCGGTACAAAATAAAAGTAAATTCACTCAAAATATAACGGCATCAATTCATTTGCACCAAACTACTCATGCAAATTATTTGAAATTGAGCCCGTGTCTACCTGTTTCGTCTGATTCTTATATAAACAAGGTTAATTTTAAAATACCAGAACTTACAGGACTAGATTGCTAACATCATACGCAACAATGTTTGTTCTACGAGTTTTAACGTAACTCAATACTTTGATCAAAAAAACGTGACGACGTCTTATAATTCGATGGAGCCGGCTGCACGCACGAAAAAACATGACTCATGAGGCGTTACCTCGATCTGAGCCGTTCCCTCAGAGCGAGGTAACACCGCATGAGAATTTTATGAAAAAAAATCTAAATTGTTTCGAACGACGAATCATTTTGCAGAACCGCTTACAATCGCACCATGCAAAAACAACCTAACGAACCAGAGGATTTCACGAATGAGCCGCTACCTTCGATGAGTAAACCCATGTTTGTCGTTTTTGAAATCATAGCTTCGCTCGATAATTATTTGGATCGAATAGTAAAGCAATTGATTTTTTACTCAACGTGAAATAGTTCTGTTAACTTATTGTTATAGTTTTGTCAATTATAGCATAACCTACAATCGATGCACTAGCGGACCGATGTTATTTATTTTAATGATGAAAGCACGAATATTCGACAATATATCACTGAACATATATTTAATATTGAAAGAATCATTACCTTTATCGCCGCAATTATCGTTGCTATAAACAATTGACACCACATTCACTATTCACTGCACTTCATACTTAACCAAAACATGTAAATGTATTATTGATTAGCAGCTGTCCACGCGGACGCATCGCTCACTCAAGTAGGAGAGAGACAGATGTCGAACGCTGCCGAATGCGGAAGCGGATTGTGCCTCTTTGTGCGCAACGAGCGACAAGCTCTCGCTTGCACTTTAAACCTTAAATGGAACGCCTCAGAGCGAGGTAACGCCGCATGAGTAATGTTTTTTCGTGCGTGCAGCCGGCTCCATCGAATTATAAGACGTTGTCACGTCAAAATGGTTGGGTTATCATTTGCAATGATTTTAAACATTGTTCATAACCATCTTGGCTTGTTAAAGTTCGGTACAAGATGGGTGCCGAGAATTCTCACACCGCTTCAAAAGCAACAGGGCGTCGAGTGTTTCCACGAGTTTCTGAAACTGTGTAGCAATTACAGAGATTAATTTATGAACCGGATTGTTACTGAAGATGAAACTTGGGTTCATCACTATGACCGGAATCCAAAAAAGACTCCATGCCATGACATAAAAAGGTGCAGCACCGCCTAAGAAGTTTAAGGTGGCAAAATAGGTTGGAAAAAGTGCTGCCATGATTTTTTTACCGACGAAAAAAACGGAGGAGTTTCTCAAGTCAACGCGTATGTCCATAGTAATCCGATTTTGATAATTCTTTTTTTAATGGAAAGAGTGTACTTGAAGTTGGTCCCAGATGAATTTGGAAAAATATCCAAGCTTTAGGTTAGGAAAATAGGGTATGATTTATTTGTTCACTGATTTTAATGTATTATCAAACAAATTTTTTTTACAGAGTTTTCCGATTTTGATAATTATTTTTTTATTGGAAAGGGTATATATAACCCAGGGTTGGTCCTATATGAATTTGAAAATTGAAATCCAAACCTAAGGGTATGAAAACAGGGGATGATTGACTGTTCACTCACAGATTTTGATGCCGAGTTGTATTATATTACAAAAATTATTAACAAAAAAACTTAAAACGCCAAAAATAAAAAGTCAGTGCCAGGCCAACCCAAGTAGTAAATGGGAACTCGGATCTATCAGACCTGCAAGCGACACCGAATATTAATTTGACTAAAGATAAAAAAAGATTTATTATTTTTTTTCTTTTCGATGGTTTAATTCTCTAAATAGTTTTTTGGGATTCAGAGTGAATTTTATTGGTTGATTATGAAGAAAAATGTTCCGTAAGTTGCCTAATTGAGGCAATACCATGAATCAAAACCTTGTGCACGGAAGATGGCTTTTGTACCATTTATATTTATTACCATACAGTTTTGCTGTATCAAATCCCATCCAACTTATTTCTGTTTTGGCTTAAGAACTGTTCTGTCTTTCGACCAGCTTTAGTATAGCGTTGACGAAACTGAGTTATGAAAGAATTTTATACTTCCGATAATTTTAGCAATATTTGCATCTGAAGATTCGGTGAAATTGCGTCGTATGTAGTTAAATATAGAAACCCCATAATTTGTATCACTTTCAATCAATAAGAGACTTTGGTCGCGTGTGGTACACGAGAACTGACTCATTAGGGAAAGATATTTATAAAAACAATTATTTACGACACAAACTAATAATGAAGAACTGTAATATTTTATACTCAAATGCACTATTTTATACCGAAAAATTATGGAAGACGTGTCCAAAATTAGTAGATATGAACTATTTTATAATTCTTATGGAAATGGGAACTAAATATTGTGTGAAATACACGATATTAGTATAGCATAATATAAAAAAAAATATAACAAAAGGGCTAAGAGCCTTAATTTAAATGTCCGTGCTGAGAAACCAGAAATCAGAAAAGTCTTATTAAACGTACTTAAAAATATTTGTTTTCACGCGCTGATACTCTAAGAGATTGGACAATGTTATGCACGGATACAGCAAAAAAATTGGTTGCCGTCAAATTATATTATATTATCTAAGAAATAATACAAAGAACAGAACTTCGGCAAGCTTCGGCAAATGTCAAAACTCCAACTGAAAGTTTAAGAAAGGAAAGTAGTAGATACACATTATGATATACATTTTTTAAAAATAAGTAATATAAAACTGCATATAATTTATAGTAAAGACGACATTCTAAGCTCACACTTATATGACTTGTTTTGTTATGATACTATAAAATTACCAAACTAACTGAAAACATACTAATATTTTTTGTATCTTTTTTCATTCTCTGACTTTAGATGTTCTTCTTTATAAAATACGAAGAGTCAGAGACTAAAATTATATTGATTATAATAAAGTAACTTTTTAGCTATAATTTGATGTATAATACATGCCTCGAATCACAGTTGCGAAAAAAGCATTTATGAGATGGATTTCTTAGGCGGGTTCCCATAGTAGGACGGTGAGATCCGAAGGGGACCTCTACCCGAGAATTGGCCATTGCCTTTAGAGGTATTCTAGGCGGATGGCATCTCCCCACAGGGGAAGTCTCCTCTCCGTCTGGAGCCTCTAATCCACTGGAACCTGAGGGGGTCGGCTCAACTAAAGGGCGTCTCTGAGACTCAGACCTCATCTCTAGTTAGCCGTTGTCGTGGGGTGAATAAACACCATTTGATAATATTAATTTATTTCATGGTTTTGTCAACAGATACTGACTGAGGGAGAAGAGTGGCCGCCCGTCGTACGCCGGCGACCATTCTTCCGAAGAGGAACAGGAGCCCTCCTACCCCGAGGTGCCTCTGCTGCCGCCGTAAGCGTACGCCGGCCAACGATATCCACAAATCTATTCGCATTTCCTATATTTTTTTTAAATTTCCAATTTCATGTAATTCGTGCCATTAAACACCACGTATCGAAAATGCCAACGCAAAACCAAAATATTTTGTCTTATGTCGCACGTTTCCAGGACCTAAATGTGAAAATCTGGTAGTTACAGGTTAAAATACCTGATTTAAGACTCAAAGACCAGACTTTGAGTAAGAAGAACATCCTAAAATTGAACAGAATTTCTCTATGATTTTTAAAAAAATGGCAATTTTGTTCGCCGCTGGCAAAAGTTTTAAAAAGTATAAATCTCCGCTAATTTTATTTTAATGCTTCTAGAAAAGGTTTTCTTTAAAGTTAAACTGCGGTGGTCACTTCATGATTGTGATTGTGTCCAATTTTCATTCATTTCTTCGGAAAACTTTATAGGTAATATTTTTACATGGTATCTAATTTGGTTAACTTCTAGACAATAACAAGTTTTCACATATAAAAAAAGCGATGAAAAATCCAGTGTCAAATGAAAACCTGACCGGAGTCCGGTCGAAGCTCTTAAAATTCGTCTATTACCGGATAGAATGTCTTACGTCGTCATTTGCGATCCGTTTTTACCCGACTGCGCACATAAGCAGCGCGGAGTGCTACGCGCACACAGGGTACAGTCTATACAGGGTTAATTTAAAAACACCAACAACATCTTAGGCCGTGATTCTACCCATCAACATGAATAACCTTTATTATGTGACCAATGCCGAAATCGCGAAAAAGAACAGCTGTCTCATACAAAAATGTATGAACTAATCAACGGAAATGTATGAAACAGCTGATATTTTTTCGCGATTTCAGAGTTGGTCCCATAATAAAAGTTGTTCCTGTAGATGGGTAGAATCACACCCAAAATTAACCCTGTATATGTATGTATTTTCCTTTGTGGTACACTAGTTTTATTGGCGCGAGTTATATTATCACTCTGTTTCTTCAGCATACTGCAGGCATATAGTGAGAGCTTTCATTATGGCAAAGCTATCACGAACTGCAAAACATAATGCTGGCACTTTACACGGTCATTTGTATTTCTTATTTGATAATTTCACAGCAACTGTCTATTTTTCATTACCTATCGAGCATAATAAGGATAGTATGATAATGCTGTCAAATGTAGCAATAGTGCTACGAATGTGAAGTGCTAGCATTAAAAGTGAAATGGACACTTAGGAGAAAGAGACATTAATATGACATAGTTTACATTTAGATCTATAGGTCTGATGAAAAATGTTTTGAGAGAAAAAGAATATGTGATTGAGTATTTCTACTTTTTGATAAATATAGATAATTTCTATTTCTAAAACTCAACTGTATCAATAATATTATATGACAAGAAGTTTTTTGAGTACAATTGGCAGCGTGCATTTGAAAATTGTGTACATTCTCGATACCTTAATACAAATGATAGTTTGTGTAACTATAAATGGTTTCAATGTCTACTAGGGATAGAATAAACTTTCCTCTTTGTACAGATACATTATAGTTGACAACTTTAGTCTTAAAGTATTTGCCTTTCATTTCCATGCTCTAATTTATTTATCTTAAGGTAGGGTGTAGCGTAATTTGTGTAAATTTATTGAGTTTGGAACTCGCATGGAGTTCTGTGACGGACACCTCCAGAATGTATGTTTTTTTTAAGATAATAAGAATAGGAAGAAATAGAATAAAATGTAAATATGCTCAATTTTGTTTGTTTCACTGTTTTTTCCCAAACTAATTTTTTGATTTATTTTGATTCAGATGCCTTCTGAGGACTTTTTATAATCGCAGTTGAAGCTAGATGGATCCCTTCAACAAGATTATGATGGCTTACAATAAGGATTATGACAGGTTAAAGTAAACGGAATTCTATTTTTTCCGCCAGGTTAGGTTAGGTTATTAATAAAAATATGTACACTTATTTTCTTTCTTTTTTTGTCAATCAATCAAAAAATTACAAAGTGGATGTGGGGGCTCTTGACATCACTTCGAAGTAAAAATTGCACTAAGTCGTGACGTCATACGGCATTTCAAATCGATATATATCTCTGTAATGTTTTGTTTATGTGTATCAAGAAAAAATATCTATCCAATACTTTTTGATAATCTACTTGATAGACGAAGAAAAAAGTTAGTCATCTCATCATCCTTGATGCTTTTCAATGAAAAGTTTCAAAACTAAACTCGTTAACGAGATAAACCCACTAAGATTTTAGAGATCTTATTCACTCGCCGAGCGTCGAGACTAGTAATCGCTGGGAATCTTGCAGCTTCATATTGTTCAGTCTGCGGGTGGAGCTCAAACCTACCTGAATAGAGTAGAAGAAGGAGAATGGACAATAACACACCACAGCGGCACAGTGATCTTCTTTGATTTTATTGGCGGTGCCCCTATAGAGTGGGCACAGTTTTCATGGGCGTAGGTTTGACTATCAATTAACCTATCCCCAAATTAAGCACTATAAGGCTTGTGTTATGGGATACTAGGGTAACGGATATAATACATATTATACTGTACATATATAAGTATATTTATTTATATTCGAACCCGGGACCTCTCGAGTCGGCGAAACCATGAAACCCGGCAAACCACTCGGCCACGGAGGTCGTCAACGAAGAACGAAGTACTTAAATTATTAAATAAGAGTCGCAGAAACTAGGCCACATCGAATGATCTAACCGTTGACATCGCTTGAATTGCCTCATGCCGGACAAACTATTACGTTAAAACCTTCCAGACTTGGTTAAATTTACGATTCAAATCTTTATTACTAACAAACTAATAAAACACTGAACAAGTAAGTCCGAATTGGCGCGGCCTCTTCTACCGAGGGTTCCGTACAAATTTGTAGATACGCAACATTAACTAAGATTTTTTATTTTGTCACAGCTTTAAAAGCAACGTAAACGCGAGTATAATATGGTTTAAATTTTAACTCGATAACTCTTAGCGGTTCTAAGATAAAGGATCTTGGCAGACAGACGGTCAACAAAGCGGTTCTTTAAGGTTTTCTATTTTTTTTACATTTTGCTTTTAGCATACTTTTGCCAAAAGAAAAGCTTTCTCAATAATAAAAATGATATTTTGAAGGCATAGAACAGTAAGAATATTTTAATTTCAAAAGTAATGTAAATATTTTAACAATATACCTACTTTTTTTATTATTTTTTGCTGCCTATATTTTTAGAGGTAACAGCTTCAAAAATACTATATTTGATAGAAAAAAAGTTAGAAAAAAATCCACGCGGACCAGGCAGCAGACGGGACCCGAACCCGCACCCTTCGCTATCCGGGTGAATGCACTGACCAATTATGCTACCGCGGCCCTGATGGCCGCGTCAAAATTCCTCTAGCCATTCTTAAGCTGCGAGGCAGCGCCATCTCTTCGAATTGTAGGTAACCCACAAAGTCAAATGAATACTTTTACAAGTATTAAACATTTGAAAGAAGAAATACTGTTATAATTTTTATTTTTTAAGCATGTAACTACTTAATGTTTAAATCTAAAGAAAATATAACTAGAAAAAATTCCACGCGGACCGTCTGCTGTCTGGTCCGCACTTACATGCTTAAAAAATAAAAATTTGGTAACCTAATGTTCTATCTTTGCTGTTGTATCGGGCGCTAGCAGTTAACTGTAGGTAGACGAATGTGTAAACAGAACAATCAGCTCGCGTTTGCCATTCGTGCCCTTTCATTTTAGCCTAGCCTAGCTAGAGGCTAGCCTCGAGGCAAATGGCAAGCGCACTGTTTACTAATTCGTGTTCGTCATTCGCCTCGCGATCCGCACCAATGTGTAAACGCGCCATTCAATTCTACTTCGAGCATGGGGTGAGCACGGGTGTTATGGGATACCAGGGTAACGGATAGAATACATATATATATATAGAAATACATAATAAACATCCATGATTGGAGTAAAAATGCTTTCATTACACAAACTAGTGTTGGGTAGGACACGACTTGAAAAAGAGTTTGTAAGAGTAGCCTCTTTTTTGTACCGAGCCAGTACAATGTCCCACTTCAAATGAGGCGAGGCGTACTGAAGCTTGGCAATACATTTGAAGTGACGAGTACAAATATGACATTGAGGCGTACAGAAGCTCGACATTACGTTTGTGTGTGAGTAGCACCTCCTCTACGCACAATCAATCTTGATGGATCCAGCATGCAGGACAGCGCTATACACGTAGAAGAGATAGAGATACAGATGGATAGTGCGTAGAGGACTTAAATGAAATGTCATGCCTCGCTCTCTCTCTCAGACTTACGAAGAGTGAGTGAGTAACGAGACGTGACTATCGCAATATTTAATGTGAAGTAGTACATTTTAAAATTTTAAGCCGCTCTTACATTTTGAGGTCATGTCCGTGACAAATGTACCGCCTCTTGCAAGTCCTACTCAACACTAACACAAACATCTGCCCCCACCGGGATTCGAACCCGGGACCTCTCGAGTCGGCAACACGATGAAACCCGGCGTACAAACCGTTTCTTTATTGTTTGAACCAGTTTTTTTGGGGGCAGCTGCAGTTCTCGACAGAATTTTCATATTTGCTCGTTTGATAGGAAAATACTCGGGAATATAGGAAACCGTTGCCAAAGCCCAATCAAAGACAATCGACATGCATACATGAAAGAAGCGTACAGAATGGTGTCTTGCATAAAGGAGCATCGCAGCAATTCGGAATTCCAAAATGTCTGACACTGCTTCGGAAACTGCAACTGCTATTGGAACCGATTTACATATCCCGCGCATTACATTTCACCAACGACTTTGGTCCAATCATCCTGCTGAGACTCCATGCGATTTTTGGAAGCGATCTAGGTATGTTCATCCCGTATGTGGATACCCTTATATAGGCACTGGAACATCGTTTCTGATGAACATATGCCTGCCTTTGGTTTGATGACGCTGCATCCTAGTGCGATGTTGAATATATCATCGGCTAAATTCAAACAGAAAACGCAAAGTTTCAGCCGATACTACGGGTTAGAATCTTTCGATAATGAAGCCGAGCTGTATAAACGCTGGAAAGATGAGGGTAGGCCAAGAGTAGTAAGTATTATTTCCTGCTACCAAAAAAACTATAATAATAACTTAGGCACTGCCTTGCACCACTGTCGTGTAGCGGCAAAATAAATAGATTACGAAAGAAAAAAAAAGAAATAGCAATACAGGAAAAAAAAATAGAAAAATATATTTATAAGAGCAACAAAATATTTATAGAAAAACAATATAAAAAATAGGGGTATGTGAAGTGTGGGGTGTGCAGTATGTAATGGTGCAGTGGGCGTGGGTCGTCGACTATTTTCAGTGGAGGTTTGAGGGTAGGGAGGGTACTGGTCATGCGTCTAAATTCTCGGCCTGCGCTGTTGTTAGGTTGGCCGTCAAAGTGGTAGGATGATTGGCACTTCTGGTGGAACGGCAAGTGCAGCTGGAGGCCGGACAATGCTGCTGTAGTCCGGGCGACAGAAAGGGTCCGCCGATGTGGATGACCGTATAGTGTTTTAGTAGAGTATGGTAGGACGGCTTTAGAAAGCTAAACTTGTAGAAATTTGAGAGGCTCGGTAGCGAGCCAAAAAAAGTTACGTTAGCCACTTTGGCCGAAGAAATGCTTCACTGATCAGAGCGGCTCGGCCTTTTATAGGTCCGGAACCATTTAAATTTAGACAAGGCTCGAATTGAACTAAAAATAATTAAAGTAGGTATTCTGTGGAGGTTGGTAAGGCATAGAGCCAGTTGGAAAGAGTATCCGTGTCATGGGTAGCATGGCAACGGAGAAAAACTTGGCTGTCAACCAAAAATGTAAACATAAACATTAACAAAATCAAGAAAAGCAGTTAATTAAGAGAATAAATAAATAACCAAGCGAGCAATTATTAATATAATGAAAGGGAAATGCCAGTAAGCATTTAGCACTCTGGAATAGTGATTTTAGTAGTTGGGATTCTAATACGTATTTACAAAAAGGTAATTTTAGGACTGCATCGACATAAGGGATCGACCCGTCGGCCAGGGAGACCCGTAGAAACGGCTGTCCCGCTGGCCGCCCGTGGCACAGTACAGGGGCCCAAGCGTTCCTAACCAGTTCGCGAGGCTGCCCCATCATGTCACGCATAATCTCGGGGTGGACCGTCGTGCCGGTTGGTGACCGGGGCGTGGGGTCCCGGGGGGGTGCGGGGGCCCTTCCGTCCGGCGGGTCGGCGCATCTCCACTGCAGGCAGTCAATCAGGAAGACAAACCCCCCTTATTTGCCCGGACTCTTCGCGACGGCGTCCGCTCGTTTTCGCGTCTCTTTTTTTTTTCACTTCCACCATGGCAGCCTCAATAACAAAGTTTGGACGTACAGCGGTGCACACCCCCACGCCTTCAACGCTGTTTGAGGTCGAGTTCTGCAACATACGCGGACTCCACTCTAACCTCAACGCTGTCCACCACCATCTCGAGACAGCACGGCCAGCATTGTTGTTCCTGACGGAGACACAAATACTGCCGCCTGCTGACACAGGCTACCTTAATTATCCCGGCTACGTGCTTGTAGAGTCCTTCAAAGCGAAAGCCGGTGTATGCCTGTATGTTCGGGCGGATGTTTGTTGTCGCCGTCTCCGCTGCTTGGAAGATCCCTCCTTCTCCATGCTGGAGGTACACGTCGACTCTGGCCCCCGGGCCAGAGTCTACGTGTGCCTCTACAGATCCCACACCGGCGATGTTGAGACAACTCGACTTTTTGAACACCTTAGTCGGGCAGCAGATGACGCGCAGGAGCGATTTCCCAATGCAGAATTGGTGTTTTTGGGGGACTTTAATGCTCACCACAATTTGTGGTTAAGTTCTTCCAAAACTGATCATGCAGGGATCTCTGCTCACACATTCGCTCTCACGCATGACTTGAAGCAACTGGTTGATCAGCCCACCAGGATCCCAGATATTCCAAGTCAAGCGCCTTCTTTACTGGACCTTCTGCTCACGACCCATCCACAGGGCTATCAGGTTGTGGTAAGAGCCCCCCTGGGCTCGTCCGACCACTGCCTGATATCTGCCAAAGCACCACAGGCCAAGCCTCCGCGTCCAGCAGTGGTCAAGCGCCGTATCTGGCATTATGGGTCGGCAGATTGGGACGGCATGCGTTTTATTACTTTGCGTCCGTCCCTTGGAAGCAGCGCTGCTTCAGTGACAGGGACCTATCGGGCAGTGCCGTTGCCATTACTGAGGAGATCATAATGGGTATGGAATACTATATTCCTCATTCTGATCTCATCAGTAAGGGCACACGTAACCTCTGGTTCAATCACGACTGTGCTGAAGCTGCTTCGCGTAAGCAAGCGGCATATCGTGCTTGGATCAGAGGCCGCGCTCTCAAGGATCCCGGGGTCGATTCACTCAAAGCAGCCTACAATTCTGCTTCCAAGGCCTGTAAGAAGGCTTACATCAGAGCGGATGCCCAGCGTGTTGCACGTGTTGGCTAGGAACTTATAACTCATCCTGCGGGCTCCCGTAGCTACTGGCGTTTGGCCAAGGCCGTGCAAAAAAACTTCTGCCAGCCCTCGCTGCCACCTCTGAGATGCCCAGACGGAACACTAGCTCATAAGCCGCAGGAGAAAGCCGATTTACTGGCAAAACTCTTTGCGGCTAACTCCCGAATCGATGATTGCAATGCACTGCCACCATCATTACCTCACTGTGGCACAACGATGCCTGATATTAAAATCAGGCAGCGTGAGGTTCGTGCCGAATTGCAGTCACTCGACGTCCGGAAAGCTAGTGGACCTGATGGCATCCCAGCAGTAGTACTTAAAAAATGTGCAGCGGAGTTGTCTCCCGTGCTCACGCGCTTGTACCAATGCTCGTATTCTTTGGGGCGTGTGCCGGAGACTTGGAGAGATGCTAACGTGCAACCGGTGCCCAAAAAAGGGGATCGCTCAGACCCGGCAAACTATCGGCCAATAGCAGTCACCTCAGTTTTATGTAAAGTTCTAGAAAAGGTCCTTAATAACCATCTGACCCGCTACCTAGAGGATCACTCCCTGATTAATGATCGTCAATATGGATTTAGACCGAAACGATCGACGGGTGATCTTCTAACGTACTTAACTCATATCTGGGGTGAGGCTATCGACAAGCGTGGCGAGTCGTTGGCTATCAGCCTTGACATTGCCAAGGCGTTCGACAGGGTCTGGCACAAAAGTCTTCTCTCCAAGCTTCCGGCATACGGTCTGCCAGCCCAGTTCTGTTCTTGGGTAGCTGACTTCCTGCATGAGCGTAGAATTCGTGTCCTTACGGATGGTAGCAGTTCGCGGTTTATGTCAGTGAATGCCGGCGTTCCCCAGGGCTCGGTCCTATCCCCCACTCTCTTTCTGCTGCATATCAATGACTTGATTCCTCTTGGGAATATTCATTGCTATGCAGACGATAGTACAGTGCATGCGGGGTATCTCGGACAAGCAGCGGCTGGGCTGGCGGTAACCAAGGAGAAACGCGAGAATCTTGTCATTGAACTCAATCAGGCTTTGGACCACATTTCCGAATGGGGTACCAGGAACTTGGTTGGGTTCAATGCCAAGAAAACTCAGGCTTGCGCTTTCACGGCAAAAACATCGCCATTCCTTCCCCTTCCATCTCTTCAGGGCACAACACTACCGCTGCAGAGCAACATTTCCATGCTCGGTATGGAAGTTCGCTCAGACCTGAATCCAAAGGACTACATCGAAACAGCTTCACGCAAACTCGGAGTCCTGAACAAGGTGAGGCGTTTTTTCACGCCCGATCAACTGTGCTTGTTGTACAAAACGCAAGTGCGGTCCTGCGTGTAATATTGCTCCCACCTCTGGGATGACTCCGCCAAGTACTTGCTCGATGCTTTGGATAGGTTACAGCGGCGAGCGATCCGCATCATAGGCGATGAGGAGGTGACTAAACCTTGAGCCTCTTCAATTACGCCGTGACGATCGAGCAAGTGAAATTTAAATTAGAATTAAATTATTTCGGCTAAATAAACATACATACCAACAAAATGGAGTGGATATGGGTGAGAAAATCAAATACGAATCGATCGACAAAAAAAATACAAAAATAAATCAAAGATAGTTTTTAGCGTTTTATATGTGTTTTCGTGACTTAAATTAACTGAACTCCTCATTAACTTCTGTGAAATCGATTTCTTTGGATTTTTTTCTATTGAAAGCACGGCTAGATTAATACCAGTCGCTCTTGACCCATTGTAGATCGAAGATAATTTTTAATTAGTTTAAGTTTCGAAAAACTCCTCTAGCATGATGCAACCGAGATGCAAGTAGTCAAGAAATACCTATATTGAAGTATAAGCAATTTACAGAGTAACGATTCACTGAAGGCCCATTTTATTATAAATTAAAGGATTTCTTGGGCTCTCCGATTGGCAGCAACGTATCGGTAGCTTTTACATGCCTGCGGTACTTTTTTATTTTTTGGGAAACTTGCTCCTTGTCAAATTCATCATTACTTTGTATCAGATTGTCAACTGCTAAAGCCAGAGCATTATCCGAAGCTTCAAGCATAAGCTTTATTTCAATAATTTGGAAAAGATTATTGATTTCTTTCATGGCCCCGTATCGTGTCGACAATTCTTGTATATATCGATTTATTCATTGACCGACTTATTTCTTCTGGAATTGATAATCCAGCATCATGAGCTGATTCACATGGCATTGTTCTTTTTACCTTCCTTCTTCCTCGTTTCTCGATGTTGATGTCCATGTTATTGCATTTTTTTATGACAAAATTTACAATATTGTCTACAATGGTGGTTCGTTCGGTCACTAAATACTCATACAAGGCGTTTAATTTGGTGATTCCTGTATCAAGACTCGTTTTTGGAGACTGCAAATATTCTTGAACTTTAGTTAGTTCTTCCAGAAAGTCAGAATTGTATAATAGGTTAGAAAGGTAGAATCGCAAACAGCCGGCAGGAGCAGGCCTGCTCCTGATATTGTATCTAGATTTGCTTTTGTTGGATCTTGAAAATATTCCAAACTACTTACAATTGTCTCTATGTTTTCTTTTACAACTTTTACTGACTCGTAATGAAAGCTCCAGCGAGTATCCGACATACGTTTTAAATTTTTCCAGTTTTCTCTCTCAGCAATTGCCATCTCTATGTAGATGACGAAAACAACGAATATGATTTCTCTACTGTTCCAAAACAAGTGACGCTGGAAGGAACGCATACAAATGCATGAACTCCACAAAGATTCAAGGAATGATTAGAACAAGGACTGAAGAGTGCATTTGGATTTACTTTTCGGATTTTTCGTTGCACCCCTCCATGGACACCTGACATTGACGCGGCATTGTGATTTGCACTTCATTCATTCAGGAATGCTTGAGGTAGTACCCGCTACAAAGCATTCCCTCAGCGTATTGGACACGTTCAGCAAAGGTAAAAGCATATTAGTACCGCGTAAAAAGTGTAGATGGCTATAGTGTTTTAATCTTGATGAAATTATGTAGGTACTAAGCACATTTTTAAAGTCATGTTTAGGTTTTGATCAGGGGAACTCGGAGACATTTGGGGCCCCCCAAGATCGGAGGCCCGGGTCGGGCCACCCCTTCCGCCCCCCTGTTAGTTCGCCACTGGTACGTTACACCACGAGCAATACAGAGAGGTCCTTCTCTACACTGCGATGTGTCAAAAAGTGGTTGAGGTCGACGATGCTCGATAAGTGCTTAAATAGCCTGTGTATGTTCAGTGAACAGCAACAGATGGTGCTCGTGCATTGCTCTCATATCAAATTTCATTTTTAATTTTACTTGGCTCCCCCCCCCCCCCCCTCCTTGAACAATCCTGGTTACGCCCTTGGATTACAGAATCATGTCAAAATCGACACAGCTATGTCAAGAAAGTTAGCGAGAGGCCTGCAGATCCTATCAACATGCATGGCGCCGACTCCAAATGTTAATTTGTTTTGTTAGTTATAATTGTTATAAGGTAAAGAATTGTTTTATTTATTACTTTATAGTGGTTTTGTTTTGATGAAGTCGGGTTTTGTTTTTGTGAATTAATTTTATAAATACTTAATTAAAAAAAAATAAGTAGGACTACAGTTAAACGAAAAGTTGTATGTAGAGTAGGTACCTAGTCTTTAATTTATTTTTCCATCTCGCGTCGCTTAATAACAATGACAAAATTTCGCATTAGCACGACCGCCGCGCGCCATTGTCGCTCTGTCTGTCGCAGTCAGTGTACGGAAAGGAGTTCGGAGTCTGAAATCTACCTTTTTACAATACGGGCCGTTCTCGTGTTTTATACCTCCCGCTTCGTAACCGTGCATCTCGGTCAGGCGCTTGTCGTACCGTATTCGAGTCTCACTCGCACTCACCAAACAAGCGGGGGAGCGTTGCTCCTCGCTACAACGAAACGACAGGCAGCGAGCGAACCGAGTTCCGCGCCTGGCCGCCGACTCGACCGGCGCTGACGTGACGTGCGTCGAACTATTACGCTAATATTTCCACTGTGAAACCTCCAATGTTATTTGTTTATACTCTATTACACCGTGTAAGCATCTATAAGCTTCACGGTTTGGATTGAATACTGACAGTGTGGTGTACTGTACGTGTGTCTGTGAGCGTCGACGCCAAATACTATTGTGAAACGGGTCGGCCGTGTTCGTTTATGTGCTGAATGGTGATTAAAAGTAATTTGCTTTTACGGTGTTGAGGGTCGGTCGGCCGATGCGTATCGATCGCACGTTGAGACACAAAGCCGGTGGATTGTTGTGGCGGCGTGTTGGTGGCTGGTGCATCGCAAGGTGAGTGATCTTGGTCCTCTGTGAGTGAACCAACCTCTCATGCCAACTTCCAACGCATAAAATGCACGCGGTGCTGCGCGGTCAGACAGCAGTACTTATTTAACGAGCGGCTAAACCAGGAGTAAACTATAATTAATAATAGAGAAGACGATGTTGGTTAGTAAACATCTGCATATTTTAATTAGATCTGTCAAACTTAATCCCTCCCCCTTCCTTATTAGGCTCTCAATAACCTAAACCAAGCCTAATTAACAAGTAAAGAACACTAGAATGAAATGATAACCTAAAAACTATGACGTTGATTAAGAACAAATGAGATCTAGACGGAGATCAATTACTTCAGGAGTAAAAAAATACATATTTTTAATGACAAGAAGCCACACAAAGGTAAGACATAAACGCCTCTATAACGACGCCATAAGGTTCAAAATGTTTACTTTAAAACTCATACATGTCATTTAATTACTAAACTCAGTTGAGATAATTTAGTTCAGTTCAAACAACACAGTTTAGAATTTACTTGAATGAAGAGTTCTTTACCTACTCAATTTAATTCAATGCGAATAACTGAAAATTACCATTGCATTGAAATCAATATTAATATGCCAATATTATAAATTCAATAGTGTCTGTCTGTCTGTTACCTCTTCACGCTTAAACCGCTAAACCGATTTAGATGGAATTTGGTAAAGAGGTAATATGAGTCGCCACACTAGACGTCTTTATATAAAAATTTGGTTAGTTTGGCATTTTTGAGGGCTTCTAGTTTCTTTGAAACACAAGAAAAAAGGGAAGACATAGGAGCATAGAATGAGAAAAATTATATTTTATGTATGAAAATCGATTCTTTAGTAATAAAAATCAAGGAGGAAGCAGTCGAGAACGTTTGTATGGAAAAAACATTGCCCGCCTTCCCTCTTAAGGGAGTGAGGGGGGGGGGGGGGGGGAGTGTGTATGGGAAACCAATATTTCCACGCAGATAAGTTGCAGGCACCCACTAAGACAACATAACGAGATGAGTAAAAAATCCTTTGTCCATGTGGATAAAACCCTGTCTAAAAAATAGAAATACAAAAAAATGTAATCTTATGATCAAACGTGGACGTTTAGGTGCCTAAATGTTTACATAAAGTAAAAATCATAGTTATAGGACTTAAAATACATAATTATGTTTCTTGTGTAATGCCGGCACTTCACTTGGCTAATCATATTTGCTATTTGTAAACTTGACAACAGTCTGTCCTTATCATGCTCTATGAGGAATGAAAAAGACAGACTGATGTTAAATAGCCAAGTGAAGTGCCGGCATAAGTCCGCTCCGTCGTCGCGAAGAAATCTCTGCGCTCGTAGGGTTGTCACACACTTGTATAAAATGATAAAAATATTATGAATAACCCTTTAAAAGTCGGCGCGTTTTTTGTTAAATATAGACTATCTTTGGCTTCGTAATCTTTGATGAGCTTTTTAGCGTTCTGGACCCAAAGGGTGACATCCTATGTCTAATATGCATCCCACTGTCTTTTCGTCTATGGCTCTTCCTTAGACTCTAAGCTCTATTTCTTAAATGAAATCCTACTAATATTATAAATGTGAAAGTTTGTATGTTTATTACTCAAACACGGATAACTACTGAACGGATGTAGATGAAATTTGATACGGATTTAATAATCCGTATTACGTAAACTATAATTAGTTTATGACCTGGATTAAATGTTAGGTTCCTGTGGGATTCTCAAAAAATTAAAGTAAACGCGGAAGAAGTCGCGGGCGGCAGCTAGTAGAATATAAAATTTACAGAATGTGTGTTACTGTGGCAGCATTAAATAAATTTAAAAATGAAGGAGTCTCCAACTTCACACATAAAACGTGATTCTTGGATTTCATTTGTCCGATATAGTTCAAAATAGTATGTATGCTATAGTGCGAGTCAGACACGCACTTGACCAAATTATTAATAACTCAGGTTCCTATCTAAATAATTTACATGAATGTTATATATAGGCGAATATTACATAGAAGCTACATTAATTTAGTAATAAGCAGTCCCAGACTACATTAGTAAATATGTCAAGATAGTTAAAATACTTACCTCCATCATTAGAAGGACGTTAATTAGTCCATCCTTCTAATGTTTAAGGCTCATATGGCCATAATATTTGAGACATATGACCGGCCTAACATGACTAGGCTAGGTCACATTGTGATTTAGTATTCTATTCGCTGCAGACGTTGTTTTTTTTCCTCCTCCGCTTCGATGGTATCCTTTAGATCGTCGAGTACCTACATAGTTATATCGGCGGTCGTACGTGCGGCGAACATCGGCTAATAGCCTCACATTCTGAGTGAGTAATGCCCTTCCCTAATGGGATAATGGCACGCAGGCGGCCGCGCGTTCGAAATATTTATAAAACGGTCCGAATCGCGGCGTGTCAACACGCGAGCCGACGTTGGCTGTATGTGGTGTTTGCCTTCGCATTTAGAGGCGAGGGAGCCGATAAAGCAGCCTCCACTCAAAAAGGGAAAGAGATCACACTTAAATAATAATAATAAATAAATATTTTCAACACTCACACCAATTAGCCTAGCCCCAAAGTAAGCACTGTAAGGCTTGTGTCATGGGATTAGTATCCGTTACTCTAGTACTCACTAGGATAGAATACTTATACTGTACATATATAAGTATATATATATAGAAATACATATTTAACATCCATGACTGGCGCACAAATGCTCGTATTCATCACACAAACATCTGCCCCCACCGGGATTCGAACCCGGGACCTCTCGAGTCGGCGACATGAAACCCGGCGTACAAACCACTCGGCCACGGAGGTCGTCTAAAAGCTCACATTATGTACACGAAGACTATGAGGAACCGACATTCAATCAAGTATAGTATTATGTGACAATGACAGCGCCTTTATTCCGTGCCAACAAGAGCGAGATTCCACAGTTTGCAACTCATAACTACTAACCCTTGGGCAAGACATAAAAGGGATGATGTCTTTTCTTGGTAATCGAATCGTCGTTTGTGTTATGACTGAACTCGGTTAACTTTCATAATTTCAAACCTTAAAAAACACTTTCATAATTCCAAACAAAATAAAATATATGACCGAAAATGTACTTTGTTAAACTGAGGACATTTTCGAACATTATTTTTAACTATCCTGCACTCTGACAACAATATGATTGTTATGTTTTATTTATATGTCAGATTTTTTTAATTATGCTATGAATACGGCTTAATACGTTTATGATTCTTAGCTTTTAACATTATGCTTTATATGCAAACACCTTTTGTCAACCCTATTTTTATGCAAATAAAGAGTATTCTATTCTATTCTCTATTTAACTCAATTAAAATCTAAATATTTGTTAGTTCTTAAAGACAGTGTAGTAGTTGATAAAACACATAAAGGCAGACATATCAACTCGGAATGCGATCGTCACCGTATCAACTCGACCCGTTCAGTATTCTTTGTATGAAACTCCCCACTGCAACGTACACTTATCGAATTCGTAACGTAATCGCCTCACAAAGATAACACTAGTTTGTGCGGAGGCGAGGCGATTACGTTAGGATTTTCCGATTACGATTAGTGTGCGTTGATGATCCCTTTCCGAGTTTGTATGTCTGTTGTAGCCTAAGATTTCAACTTGAACTTTCAAATAACCAAGAGTGTTCTTATTAAATTACACTGAAGATAGTTAAATGTATGTTTATGTCGTCTGCATGATGCTATGCTATACAGACCTACCTCGCAATGCAATGCTGAAGTAACTATCAAAGTTGTGCCAGGTAATGATTCCGTAAACAACAACTGAGAATACTAAAATTAAATCTGTCCAAAAATGTATAACTTTACGCCATTACAGTTTCGGTAACTATTGTGTTGCATGTTGACAACCTGCCACTTTTATCTGTTTCGTTTACTAACTTGTAATAAATAACTAATGTGTTGTTGGACCAGTTGAAGTACCATCAGATTCGGACGACCTTTTTAAGGGGTCGTCTACTCAGCCCCGGTTCAGATCCCGGTGGGGCAAATATTTCTATAATGAATACAAGCACATGTGTCTGAGTCATGGATGTTTATATGTATTTCTCCTAGGTTAAAGAATTATCCTCCTTCCTTTCTCTTTCAGAAGTATCTCTGAAGTCATTTTTCAACTTGACGACTCTGTATATAACAAATACAGGGAGAAAAAACAGCCCTTGCTGAGTTTCTTGCTGGTTCTTCTCAGTACAAGGTCTCCCGCCGTAGTTTTGCGAACCGATGGCGTAGTTTCTTGACCTTCACAAGTGCTAGTAACAGCCTAGACTGAAAAAATGATTATTGGTTTTTGACTCTTGCATATTTAAAAAAATTGTAACCATTTAAACCGGGTCATATAATTTAGACAGGTCTATAGAAATAAGCCACGCTTTCCACCAATCAAAGCGACGAGATGGATAAGAAGCCCTCGCGTTTTCAACAGATATACTTTGAAAATATCATCGTGTTGTCTCTAAACAAATAGACGAAACAAAAAGTCGTGGCGCCGCATATAATCGCCATAAAACGTCATGACTTCAAAGGCGCAACGGAGAGACTGGACTGGAGGGCCTAAGGGCCCAACTGCCATCATCGAGCGATGCCGATGGCCCTCAACAGTGATAAGTAAACAGCCGCGTATCACTGATACAACAAACACTCATATAAATAATGACGATTTCTACTTTGGCTAGGGCTGCCGCCATATTCAATCTGCGGCTCGTCGTTAATAGTTTTTCCTTTTTTATCAGACTCAATATGTTATTGCCATAATTATTATGATCAAAATTCAAAAAGGAGTACATTCTTCTAACGAGATTTTGACCCGGTAAACGTGTTAAACAGCCTAGTCTAAGTAGGGTTTCTTTCTCCTTAGTTGGTTATTTTTTGCTATCATAAACACAAAAACCGTCTATTTGTCACAAGCATTACTGTCCCTATACCAATGAGTGTATTTGAACG